ATTTCGAGAAACAAAGTGTAAACGTCTGCGTAGTTTTCGATTATATTAGCTTTGAAAATCTTAGATTGGGGCCCTATCACTTAATAAGTGTACGATTATATGCATGTGTACATACATGCTTTGTATCTGTTGTAAAGCAAATGAAATTTGTCACGACTGCGTAATAATTTGTCTTCAGTTCAAGTTGAAAAATTTCGTTTTCATGTGATTGAAGTGTGAAGGAGGAAAACCACATACTTGTGACGTTAATCAGCTTTTCAGCAGTATCCTAAATTGTAAAAGTATTAGGGATAAAATCGTCGGGAAGCACTGGATATTCGTGAAATCTTCAGTGTGGTTTACAACTGTGTCAGACCATCAGTGATTCTAAAACGGTTTCACATAATAAGTGTATAGATTACAAAAATTAACAGTTAAAAAGACTACAAGGCCATACGCAACTAAAAAATAATGCCTCCAAAAATACCCGATGATGCGTTGCATACGGGCAAAAGCACGCAGTTTTCATTATATACATATACCGTTAGCAGCTTTCAAATAACACCGTTTAAGCATGAAAAAAGCTAGTTTTGGCATATCAAGAAAATCGCAAGCAAATAATTTTCAGGGAAAATAGATAACCAGAATACCTAAATAGTGCTGATGGGATGGCCACACGAGACTCACTTTCAGTTTCAATTTTAGCCTGGGGAAGATAGGGTGAGATTACATCTCGTATCCTTACTTGTGGATTTTAGAAAATTTACTCAGATTACCTGGACCACGCATTCTTAAATCTGAAATTTAGACGATATAAAAGGTAAGCCAAAGACAAACTGATAAGCAACTTCAATATTGTTTCTTCGAATTTAGAGGCTGGTTGCTTGTCTGCAGTAATCAAGTATAATATCACTAAATACTACAAAACGTCAAAAGGTCATGGGACATTCCTTAATCTGTGTGTGTGAATTATATGCAGTGAAACGTTATAACCGTGTATACATGATAACGCTGGTGATCAATATGAACTGAAAGGGGATTTGTTACATCAGAAGATGCCCTGTATATTCTGGGATCGACAACGCATTTGTCCGAGGTCTGAAATTGATACATAAAACCCTATAAATCAAGCGGTTTTAGCGAGAACGCAAGGAGCAGAAGATGTTGATTTGACTACCGGACAATATGAATACATACTCATATGTATATACATATACTCACCTTCATAAAAGGGAAGCTATTTCCTATACAGTCTCATTCATCCGTCCTTTGGGACATCTTATAGTGATCAGTAAGTGGCTTTATAATAATAACGAAAATAATAATTATTACACAGGTCTTTTACATAAGTTCTAAGTAATAATGTTAAAACGTGGGTTAATAAAATAGTTGAATTAAAAGTTATTAACCGTAGGAAAAACAGTAAAATATTAAAAATATATAAAAGAAAATCAAACACTGTAAACGCAAATCAGAGTCTGATACCACTAATACACCATGTCAATGACAGGAACAGTTTGATACAGACACACTATCATTAGGCGTGTACAAATAGGAAAGGTACACAGTAGAATTACTGAGTGGTATGCATGATTCAAGAATGAGTTTGCTGGCAATTATCAACTGGAAAGCGCTTGATATAAGCTGTGACCTAGACGTGTGCGCACAGAAGGTGCATTTTGTGTGGAGGCACCAAGGATGTTCCATAACGAATAGTGTTTTGAGAAGCGGCAAATTAGGGAGGGAAAAATCAGCAGCGAGGCATCTGTGTACTTACAACCAAAGCATTGGTCGACCTTTCAAGGAGAAGTAGACAATGCAGTGGTAAGTGAAGATAAATTTCATACAGACCACTGGAAATGAAATAAACGGCTGTAATATAGCTCACAAATTGAGGGGTACAGCAATGAAGAATGAAGGGTTGTGAAGAATGTCAAGTGTATAGAAGAGCAGTTGAAGTAAAAATATAATGACTTTACATCAGACCTAACAGTTCAGTAAGAAGAGTAAAGTTTGCAAAACACATTCATAATTATATTCACTGTCTATTAGGTTTTATCAAATGTCAACCTCCAAGTCATACTGTAAGTGCCTATCTAAGCATGCTGCATTTTGTCTTGGCAGAATAGTGACTTCTGTATATTTTTGGAAAAATGAATCCCAGAAGTGACACGTGTATAAGAGCAATCTCGTTTTTACCGATTAGTTGCCTCATCAGTTAAAAAGAGCAGGAAAAGCAAACAGAATTACAGAGGGATATCAGCTTATCTCAGTTGGCGTTGTTGTCTAGTTTCAAGCTGTTTTTGTTAGCGGCCGGTTTAGTCCATCAACTGGAGCGACGCTTATACGTTAAGACTTAGGAGTATTTATTCGAATCCAGTAGTGACTCTGCCAGATGCAGATGAACGTGGTTGGCACGAGAATCACTGGTTGAGCTGGTGCCTAGATAAAAATTTTGTGTCTGATTACATTTGACTTCTGAAAGCTTACACAGGAGTCCAACCGTCTACTCATGTCTTTTTTAAGCCCATGTCTGAGAAGTCGTTCCGCTACTACTATTGTTCTATGTTTAGTAGGATTTGAAATATCCAGCACAGAGTGTTTCACTAAGTTTCTTCCACAAGGACAGAAAAGGACTGATAACAGAGTAAGTAACTACACTATAAAGTAAACAGGCGACTTGGAATTATAGATTTCAATGGTTCAAGAGTTTATACAACTGTTATTAGCTAAATGTTTAGTAAACACGCTGTATATCTTAAATAAACTGAGAGTTTTAGTCCGGTTGTTGGAACTATCCAGAAGATTACTTGTCTGAAGACAAGCTATCAGAATAAGCTCAGGGTTTATCGTCTGAATTTTCGGCCTTCCACTGAATACTGAGAGTTACATAAAGAACAGTACACCGCTAAGTGCTTCCAACTGGAAGTTATACACCTAGGTCCAGTACCTTGCCGCCGTGTCGAGAACAGTGCTTGATGTCGTAGATATGTTGTTTACCTGCAGTTTTAAAACCCCTCTATTTGCTGAGCCAGGTAAGTCTACAGCGATACTATCGGGCACTTTACTTTCTCAAGGTTTGATAGAATAGTCCACTTAGTGGTGCATTAATTCTCAGCAAAAAATTATTTCCTCGTGTCGTTGGTCAAGCTGATAATCTTTGCATTTCCACGAAACTGGACTGTTAGAGGTTTGATGACGTACTCACGATTCGGTATAAACCGTCATTTAAAACTTATCAGTCCGATGGGTGTACTCGATCGCTTGACTTTAGGGGCCGTTCCCCGCAAAGTAGCGGCCATGTAATGGAAGTGCGCAATGGGTGAGGTTTTCGTATTCAGTCACCGATAAACACCCAATGGACATCAATCGCTTCTGTCGTTTTTGGGGATCGTATGCAAAGGAGATGACCATCATCTGTTCAATGGCCGGATGTTTCCTAAACATATCATATGGTCGAATTCTTCTCCGGTCACTAAGCTTTCCAGGATCCAGTAGGCGCGCTTTCAAAGGCCCTTTATTTTTATTGTAGTGTATGACATTTCTGGATACACTGTGGTTGTGTTTAATGCGGTTCTGCATACTTTTCAAGTGTTGAACAGAAAACGAACCAGATGGACTAGTGATGGAAAATCCTCAAACTTGGAGTTTCCGCTAACAATTGGTCAGCTCCTGACGGAGGATGTTGATTTCCACACACCGATCTGAAGTAGTGACCATGACGCAGTTCTGTGTAACATGGTCATAAACGAAACAATGGGAAGAAACGTAAACAAACCTGACCTGTGCTTCATCACAGCGCATTGCACACGCATGGAAGAGCATTTTATACATGCCTTGTGGCCACGGGAATGGTTGAGGCTGACAGTGATTATCACTGGCTTGCTACGGGCAGAAAGGAGAGCCTAGTTCAAGTGGCAAGTCTCTATCAAGGATTCTGACCGTAGTTCTTACTTCAATTTGAGGAAAAGATCTAATGTCAAAGTCCGAAGTGATTGGAGACGCTTTTAGATGAAGCTAACGGCTAAAATACAGGCAAACCCTAAGCATCTGCTTAGGTGGTGACCAAAAGAAAACCTACAAACCAGAATGTTTGTGTTCTCAAAGGTTCAACTAGTGAAGACCTTATCAACCTAGAAATGGCTGAGATCTTGAACACCAACCTCTTTAAACAATTTAACCAAGTAAGGACACATTCACAGCACTGCTCAGTCATAGTTCCACCTGATTGGCTTAGGGAATTTCGGACTAACACCTGACTTTGTACTGAGGAACTTAAATCCTTGCGCCCCCGAAAAGTTTCCAGGGTGTGACAATATGTTCCCCATAGTCTTGAAGCAATGTGCAGAAGCGCTCAGTTCACCGATATGTGACCTGATCAGGCATTCACTTGAGTCACTCCAACTCCCGGATGAATGGAACCAAGCGGTCAAGTTGAATGCAACTGTCCACTTCATGCGAAAATAATTTGGTGCTATCACCCTAGAATTATTCTTAACGTTGTTTACGACATATGCGCACCCACACCTTGATGTTCACGCACACCCTCTACTTAAAAAAGACATAAATCTCTTGGATCAAATGCGAAGACGAGCAACGAAACAGGTAATGGGGTTTAAGAATAAAACTTATGAAGATAGACTCCAGCACTTGGGATTATTACCCCTGAGTTATAGGAGGATCAGAGGTGATCCGATTGGGGTGTACAACATATTAAGCAAGCCAAATCATTACAACGTGAGCATCTTACGAAGCATCATCACCACACTACTCGAGGTAATCTTATGAAAACTGCGCCTCAAAGATTGAACAATTAGGGTTTGCACACTTTTTCTCATTCAGAGTTGTTTCAACTTGGAATGCTCACCCAGCCGAAGTGACCTCAGTTCCCTTGAAAGGTTTAAATTAGCCAATAAGGATACGGATCCTCGACCTCAGGTATTTAAATCAGTTTTAAAAATTAGAGCTGGCTGTTGATTTTATGTGGCCCATAAGTTTCTAAGGTTCATAGTAATACTTTTTATGAAGAGAGTTTTTGACGAAGATTTTGATAGGCGTTTTCTATAATATACTTTTTCCCCAGATACATCAACATAATTATTTATTGTCGGTAAGGTAAATTGATATATATTGCCATGTAGGAATCATTAGTTACTTTATGTGATTCATACGGCGTTTGTTCTTGAACGTAAATCATGAAATAAGGAAGCGGTATGCTGTCAACAACACTATGATGTATACATCATCAATGTTCTCACTGTCACATTCCACCTAATTGAATTCTTTCTCGCTACTTTATGAAAGGATAGAATATAATTTAATCTCGATATTCACGTTAATTAGTGCTACTGTGTGTGAGTTTCCCACTTTACGACTTGTTTGAAAAAGCTAATATACAATGAAACTATTTATAAACCTACAATTATTAGTGTAATAACTGGCGTTTTTCATATTGATTCATCACTATACGTTTCAACACTAGTCAATGCACTTCTGAAAAACAATCAATGAAGCTAGGATTTATCAAATATTTCCTATTCACAGGACTAAAATACTCTTCCCAGTTTCTTCTGTTTTCCAACAACCCTTGACTTTGGAACCATATGCTTTAAACAAAATGAATTTGTCCAAATGCCTTTAAAACCGAGGTGATTATAATTTTCGTGGAAACTTTTGTTGCCAATTAATCTTCGCTTGATCTACCGATGGGTATAAAGACATTTAAACAGTAAGGGAGACATCGTTCTTATCAACTGGTTATTGCGTTACCTATCAACACAAGCAATTTGTAACAGAAATCCTATAGACTAGCTTTGTGTCGTCATTAGCGCCTAATTTAAAAGACCCTATTTTGGATTTTGATGTTGAAGCGTATTCCAAATGTACTATTAAGACCTTCAGGAAGATTTATCGTTTTTCACCTGATTGTATTTTCGATTACAGTTACGACACACACACAAATAGCTATCTTCCATTCAGCTCGTCAAAAATCTGTTCGTCTGATTCGCATTAAGTTTTTGTCACTAAAAATACATGTTGGAACTCTTTAAGTGGTTTTCTAGCAGTAGTAAGGTTTTATTTTAAAACAACACTAATGAGCAGCTACTCCGTATTTGTAGATAGCAAATATAAAAAGAAATGCTTAACAATAATCAGTGAAAGAGTGAAATGAAAATAATAGTAGAATTCATCCGCTACCTACTCCCTCAAACTGAGATGTCACAACAGTTGGCAAGTAAAACGTCATTTATACTTAGTTTGCTTACTTAAGGTAGCAAAATTCATGTAGCCATAGTTTGTCTGTTAAATAAGCCAGGCTTATTTAGCAAGCTGGTTTCGGTTTTGACAAGTGGCTTCTGCTCTTTTATGCTTGTTCAAGGCGACTATATTGCGTAAATACAACTAAACAGCTTCCTGTTCTAAATGGCATGCGGTTGTTGTAGAGAATTCGATATTGAAAATTTTGGTTATCTTTTAAAATACATGTTCTCTAAAAATGAAACCAGCTTGTCTTGAGATATGGAAGTAACTTAGTGAGTAGGACCAACTTTGCATTTTAAATTGATCTATTCGTCATTCCAAATGAACATTTTGTTACAATTTTACTTTAGATAAATTACCCAGAATGAGAGTTAACTATGTGGATGAATTATACGAAGCAACATCAGAGCATGTAAAGCAGTTGATTATACTTGCCGATTCAAAAAAATATGCTACTGCTGAATTCGATGGATCATTAAAATCATTTCTGAATAGTTACAACCCTGACGATGCACCAGTGAATATAACAGAGTATCGTACAAGAGTCGCAGTGGATATATTGTCAAGGTTATCAGTTTTGGACAACCTTGTATCTATTTACCGTGAATTAGGAAGAATGGCTATTCCTCTGAGTTATTTTACTTTCAAACCAATCCCTTGTAAAAGATGGGTCCTCAAGCTGATAGACTTTCAGCAATCTCTGTCTAATTATATGACAGTTAGCATAAGCTTCACGCAGAAATTAATTAAATCTGATATATATTTGACGGAAGTGCGGCGTATCTTAAATGTCATCAGTAATATGAATATGTCTGAGGTTTGTTTTACTTTATTTCTAAAATATACTGTGGTAGATTATACTTCCACTAACGAGCTGCATCATCTGTGCATTAAATAATGCATTGGCTTATGAATGTCGTTTCATAACACAAATACTTAGAGAATATAGTCTACGGGATATTTTGAATCGTTATACTTGTTGTGATCCAAAACTTCGAGTTTGTGGCATTATTTATCAGTTAATATTTTATTTTCTAGTTGGCTATAATCATTTTTTTGACATTTACTTACAATGATGTCAGTCAACTTTATCTAAATGAAGAATCTATTGAGTTGTTTGTGCATCAGTTCCATTATACTGTTGTTGGAAACAGAAAAAGTGGTTCCTTTAGTGGCTTTGTTCTAAATAAAGGTTGGTTATTAGCTCACAATTATTATTTTCTAATTACTGCTGCATTATCATTTTCGCAAATATACCAATCAAAATACGGGATTTAGATAATGCTGGTTTGATTTTCTACAATGCCAATCAAATATAAACTGAAATGAAACAGAATCATAATTAACGACAATAATTGAAAGTTAGGGCACATGTTTCGATTCAGATCATACCCTAGTACGAGTGTGTATTTGTTTGAGGCTCGGATGCAGAAGACTCGATTGGTTTTTGCCAACCTGTGTCACCTATGGCTCAGGCGAGATGTCCGCTCGCTAACCAAAGGACGAGTGTACTGTTCAGCAGTTCTCTCCGTCCTACTATACGGATGCGAAACATGGCCGTTAAGAGTAGAGGACTTTCGTAGGTTACTAGTCTTCGATCATCGGTGTCTCCGAAGCATTGCTCGTGTATCCTGGGACAACCGTATAAGCAATACTGTTGTTAGGAAACGAGTTCTAGGTAGGGACGGCAAATCAATAGATGAAGTGGTGAAATTTCATCAGCTGAGGTGGTTGGGATATGTTTTTTGAATGCCCAACCACTGGCACCCTCGATGAGCGATGTTTTGTGGTGTAGTAGTAAGAAGAAAGCTAGGTGCGACCAAACCAAAACATGGCAGACATCCATGAAGTCACTGACAAGTGGACTGAGCCGTGTTGGTAAGTGTGGGCTACCTGGTTGGGGTCCGCGAGACTAAAGTCACCGATGGTTAGAGACCTTGAACGACATGGCTCAAAACCGTTTGCGACGGCTCAGGTGCATCCACTCTTTGTGTTCTATGAAATTGTAACCTTCTGAATTCCTCATAATCTCTATCTTTCTCCTTCTAAATTTATTTCACTGAATTATACTTCTCGAATCATATCCTAGCTCCCTAATCTTCTTCATTACTGCTAATACTTCTACTATCGCTACCACTATTGGATTTGAACTGACAGTTGCGTCTCTGTGCTGATGTGGTAATGGCAATTTGGACCGATGTACTTACGTATGAAGTTCTGCGTTGTATCTGTCTGTCTGTCTGTCTGTCTGGTTTGTAACCAATAAACTATCACTTTACACTAAGTTAAAATTTTTATCACATTCTTTATTATGTTTGCAAACTGAGAAACATTTTTATTTAGTAAGGGTTCATGGCTTTCTGTTGTTGATATTCAGGACTGCAAGTGATCAATCCCTATCACCACAGGTGTTTCATAGGCATGTCTTATCGATATAGCTTTTAGCACTAAGTTTCCACTGATTATTTTTGTTTGAAAACAACAAGATAGTAATGAACTGGTCAAACAGCCTCATTTCAACTGGATTACTTAAATAATTAATGGTGCCAATCCGTTCTCACAATCCGTTTATATGATTTAAACTAGATGGTCTAATTACACAGTCGGAATTTGGTAAAAAAAGAATATTGAAATCCTCAATAAACCATTGTCACATCCCAATCAGAAACATGAGAGCGCTGGACGACCTTTTCATCCTGGTATGGGATTTATCAGCAGTGCGCATCCACGACTCCTGCCACTCGAGGGATTCGAACCCAGGACCTTCAGTCTTGCGCGCGAGCACTTAACCTCTAAAAGGATGAAAGCTTGCAAGAAGTATGGAAAAATTGGCAAACATCCAAATTATGACCTTTCAATTTAGTTGATATTCAGTGAATGCAATAAGATTTTTGTAACTTGACAAAAGCACTGAAATGGCCACTGGTTACAAACACTGGAACCTACTTACTCCCTATTGTATAGAAGATTAAAGACTGATACTTTCAGATTAAAGGATAAGGATAAGATTGCAGTTGAATGCATTTATCATGTACGAACTGTCAAACCACAACTGATCCAACCACTGATCAAAATGTCATCGAAAATTACGATTTATATCTGATCAACTTATGTAGTAAATAGTCGAATTTGGTTACTTCGAATTATTCGATACTCTTATTCTTATTATTTCTTATCAAATATGGGTCAGACTTATCAAAGAAAAGTTGTTTTTTTTCACCAAACAGATAATCAATCCATAAACTAAACTATGCGGTCACTAAGACTACCAAAACATTATGCACCCGTTAATAGTAAGATTTACGGCTATATGGGACTAGCAAGACATTCTGAAATTTTAAGTATTATTTTACAGCATATAATGACAAACATCTCAACCCAACTGTTTGCCTCAAAACTTTTCGCAATTCCAAGTGCGCTTATTCTGTATCGTATTAGAATTTTTGTGCAAATGAAGAATTGGGCGTGTTAATAAATCTTTTGTTTTTTGAATAAATAATAGTACTACGTCTTTTGGCTCTGAACCATGAAAACAGAATTGAGTTTGGCAATCGTGAAATTGTACGTCACTTGATGTCGTTGCCCAATTCTCAGTCATATGGCACAAACGAAATATCAATAACTACACATATTTTATTATCAAAAGTTTCAAATAAAAATGCCATTCGTGAAATACAGTCATTAGCAGAGACATACCGCTGCAATATAATTGAGTTGGAGGAAAAAGTCCGAACATATTTTGAAGGTGTTAGTATTGATAAATTCTTACTTCAATATCCAAATGAACCTGATCTCGTTGACGACCAAGGTAATATGCGAAAACTATAATTCAGTTAGGTATTTTGCATATTATTATCTCACATGTAAAAGTAGCATAGAGATTATTGAATTTATTTCACACATCACTCTGAACTATAGCAAATAAAAATGAATAATACAAGTTATTATTTTTACAATTTATTTCTCATAACTCTTAATTATTATCTTTCCCATTATATCTCAAGACGTGTTTCATACTCTATTTTATCACATCAAATTAAAGAGAATTATAGTTAGATCTGTATTATAAACCTTGATGGTTTACCCTAGTGAACCTTTCGTGCTTCCAGTCATTAGATCTTTTGAATTAACTAGGCGTTAGGTAATAGAATAGAAGTTTGTGTTATGCTCGTCAATTGATATGCTTGTAACTATTACGAGCTCAGCTTAGTCAGTAAACGGAGCGAGGATCGATAATCCGGCGACAGGACAGGCTACGCTAATCCGAGCGTCTCAAGGCCCCACTAAGTAGAGGAAGAAGTCTTGACAAGACGTAGAAAGTGTATTCTACAAGCACCCAGAAATTATGAGGTTAAAAAGCACACAAATCGATTTTATTTGTATATGATGGAAACGTCCTTGTGACAGCCACAAAAATAGCATACTAAAATAATACGTCAACCGATGACAGCCAAGGATTTTCCGGGTGGGGAATGTAATCTCAAGGTCAACTGATCAGCCCATGCGCGAAAGCATAAAATCCAAAATTAGGACCTCTATCAAATGAGTTCTGGGGATCTAACGTCCCCAACAGTTTGTCTACATGTTACATTACTACGTCCGGTATTAAACATCTATTTGTGGACATTTTTGGGTTTAATATTGTTCGTGACTGAAATTGTAGTATTCGGATCACTACATAACGGGATATGTTATAGTTCCTAAGATTTATATTCGACACTGTTGTTCTCCAATCTAATGTATTATGTAGATATCCTCCTAGTTTGACAAATTCTGAGGAATTCTAAGCCCCCCATACAATACTTCCTAATGTTGATATGGTAAACCACATTCAAATTTCATGGTATTATAGACTAGGAATATTTGTCCTTAATATAAAATTTCCTAACTAACTGCATTTATAAATAAAGGGACAATAAATTAGTCGCTTACTAAACTGATCAGTTTCGTCTATAAAAATCAATAAAGATTTACAATAAGTAGCGTAAACATTCGGGCCGGTTTTGATCAAATAAGCAGTAACAGTTGGTCTTATTGTTTATCAAACGATAAGAATTCAAGTTTTTAATCATGCAGTTCGTGTTTTGGGATTGTGAGACTTTGAATTTGATAGCAAGTGATGTTGCTTATGCTGTACCCATTCTACATGGTTATTTGTGAATGAATTTTGCACAAAATACTACAACAGAACGGAAAAAGATCAGTGCGTACATAGTTGTCATACATTATGTTATTTTCGACGGAGATTGTGAGCTGTAAATTAGTGGTGTCCATACTCGGAAGTTCTGTAGTTTTGTTAAACTAAATCGACTATAATGAGTTTCATTAGCAGAGAGGGATGGTGACTAGAAGTGGAATCCCTAACGCGTGTTTCGTTCTATTTGGGACTCATCAGCTGGATGTACCTACATCTCAGAGTTGATGCTCACTATGGGACTTGGTTTGAGTCCCTAGATCCCGTTACTAGCCACTATCCACCTTTGTTAATAATGTTTGTAACTTGAAGACAATATCGACGCAATTCTTACCGAATGCACATATGCCAAAGAAACTGGCCCGTCTTAAACATCAATGAGAAGATTCAAACAACCAACACAAATGTATTATGAGCTTTGTTCAGTTTTAATGTTTTTTACGGCGAAATGTTGTCAAAATAATGTTTGTTGACCATGTGTATTTGTATTTTTATTGTTTTGTAGAAGATAAATCATCTACTAGAGTGGAAGAAAAAAATCCCCACCATCTGGATGGTCATATTATGATAAGCTACAGTCATTGTGATAAAGAAATAGCATTTAAAATTAAAGAAAGTTTAGAAAATATGGAAATGAAGGTATTCGTTTGATTATGCATATATGAATAAACCAAATAGGGTTATATTATATGCCAACCTCAAGTCATTTAGAGTTTCCAAATAGGAAACCAGTTCCTAGAAGGCCAAATGATGAATAACATTTAGGAGCATATCCTTTATCAGTAAATAAAAATAAAAAATTAGAAAAATTGTAATAAATGTCACTTAAGATCACAAGTTTTAGTGAGTTTGTCGTCAGCTATATTTCAGTCAAAAACGTTTATTAGGTTAATGTACCCTTATGGTACGTGGTTCAGTAACACACCGCTACAAGTTCTTCATATCGACGAATGTGGACATAATCTATGCGTATGATATGGAAGAATCATTTGCTTCATACGAAGTTGCTTGTCATCAATATTTAGTTTTAATTTTCGAGCCAGTACATAGGAATTATTAGGTTATTTCATTCCCTATAATTTAAAACGCTAATCTAAAATTGATCTCAATCAGTTTCTAGTTTTGACGGTGATGGCATCACGCTTGATTGGTAAAACATTTGATCATTTCACTGTTTACCCTCCTTTGTAATTGACTTTTCTATTTTCATATGTTATTTGTCACGACTATTCATTCTAGTTATATTGGTATCACTTTTATATCTCGCTGAATCTAATCTTACTATATCAATTGGCTGAATATCAATGTAATCAGTCGATCTGTTGTTTTAGACTCCCTTATTTGACCTGAAGTAATTATGCTGCTGATTTTCTAAATTTTCCCACATTCATGTTGCATGACTTCTAAAAAATAGTATATTTCAAGGTACATTTCTTACAAACTTTTAGTGGTATGATACTATAACCAGTTTCAGTATTCAATCTGTGGTATTTAACAGGGGACAGATTCAAAGTATTCGATATTGGACATTGGCATAAGTAATCGTATTTTCGTATTCGGATGTATTGGTGAAACGTGTAATACAGTTTTAAGTACGTAGTATGTTTATTGTTAGTGATTTTCTTTCAACGTTACATAAAATGGACTTGTATTCGCATCAATAACATTTAGTTTTTTTCTATTTTCTCAGATTTGGATTGATAAGGACTGCATGGTTCAGGATGTTAAAATTTTAGATGCAATGGCAAATGCTATACAGAATGCTGCAGTTGTATTAATACTTTTTTCTAAACCATATCAAGACAGTGAAAATACCAAAGCAGGTATATGCATGATTAAATTTTATGTTCTATAAAATTACCTATTACGTAGATACTAACTGTACTAATGTATCCGTTTTAGTCACTCAGACAGTCATAAGCAACAAAAGTACTACTCAAATAGTTTGCTCATTATTTGCAACTACCGTATACCTTTATTTCTCTGATTCGCTGTTTGATAAATAGAGAGCTTCCACAGGTCGTATATATCGGATTTCCTAATGCATCCTTCAGTAAGCTTGTTGTTTAAACCTTTTTCTTGTTAATCAGTCCTCATCGATACATGCACTACTGGAATAAATTAATGCTTAGATATTACTGATGTGGTTTGATGGTCCTATTCTGCCTTCGGTTTAGTCATCAATGCACACCTATCTGAGTGCACATTGGCACAGTCTGTGGAACACGCATATTATAATCAGCCAAAGTCACATAAAAACGAGAACCAGAATACCATATAAGATTTCCTAATTAAGTGAGACAAATGTATGATTTCACGTCGCGTGCGAGTTATGGTGCTGATAGTCGTTGAGTATCCAGAGTCCATACTTGTCTGAATAGATTCGACTTGTAATCATTATCTTCTTGAACACGTACATCGATGTTCCATAGTGACGCGAGCCTAGATGTTGTGTCGATAGTCAGTGTTGTTCCATCTGATGGAGTTTCTCTTACAGTGAATTCAAACGATTGATGATTGCGTGTATATGGTTTTGTTGCTGCTGTTTTTGTTTGTAACGTACATTTAGAAAGATTTGAAGGACTCAATGAAAACCCTCCAGTCCTGTATACAACCGAATATCCTACCAACGTTCAAATATATGATTTGGCACAACAATTAGTTGTGATTTACATGTTTCTAGTATCACCATAGTTTTTCACACCTAACTTTCATGGAAGTGATTGGATCCGATAAATGTTTCAAGACAACAGTTCGAACATAAGTGTACACATATTCGTATAAGAAATGAGTAGACCATTTGTAGGACATTCAAGATTATCTGACTGTGAAATTTTCTAGTCCATTCGCGATGTCAGCTTTGTTGAGAACCTAAAAGAGGATCCGTCATGCATCTATGGATCTTTGAACATGTAGATACAATTCATTGGGAATATATTCTGCTATCTCTACTCCTTTCATTTGAAACACAGGATCTATTGTATTAACTTACTCTAAGCTAGTTAACACTTTCAAACTGTTTGCCTTGATAATAGAGATACAGTTTTCTTCTTTGTGTGTACCAGTCCATTATTCGCAATGGTTTACAAGAAAATTTCGGGAGACCCACCATAACAGTCACCGAAGCCGATACTTCTCATCTAGTTTAAGGATGTGCAGCACCATAGGTGGTGTATGTCAGCTTCCGTATCAACAATCGAGGATGTTCAACTGCAAACAGTAGACAAACAGAGTCGAATTGATCTATGGTGGTTACTGATCAGTATATGATACTGAACCTGCCACAAATTAACATCATAGATCAGTATCGCAGAATGGAATTGCCTTCTTCGGATCTGAGAAATGTTGACAGTCAGTTATATTCCATCAGAAGCGTGAATATATTTCCGAAAATCATTTACAATCTCCTATTGAGTGATAAAAAGGAGGTAGACCAAGGAACACATTACGCTTAGAATTGGAGAAAAACACGAAACGAATGGATAGTACTGGAAAGGAAGGCTCAGGGCAGAGTAGGTTAAAGAATGCTGGTCGGTGGCCTACGCTCCATCAGGAGTAACAGGCGCAAGTAAGTAGTTATTGAGTGATGTATTTTGCTTGACGTTAGTAAACAGTCGAAGCACATCGTAAACTACCAGTATTGTTTTACTTTCAAATCATACCTTATTTTAAAGAAGCGGAATACACTCGTAAACTAAAGAAACCAGCTATTTTTCTTCGTGTTGAACCAAAGTTTGTTCCAAGTGGTTGGTTGGGTTTCATGATAGGTGAGAGTCGTTATATTGACTTCTCAGGGAAATATCCATTTGATGAAAAATTTGAAGAATTATGCACCACAATCGTGAGTTTCAACGATTTGCAATGATAGAACTGTATTATAGTGTATCTTGTGTTTTAGGTTCACTTTTATCTATTCTAGTGATTTCCCAAACACTTCTAACAATGACATTAATAATTATCATACAATTACCTATGACCTACCGTTGATAGTGAAAGAGCACACTTGTCGACCATTTATTGGAAAGATTTATGTCGAGAATCTTTCTGCCTGTAACCGTATTTTTGAACATTTTCAATTGCACATAAAGTCATTGATTAGCCGATGAAATGTGTGTATCAGTAAGAGATTTAGAACACTGTGCATACAGTAAGAACTAGTCAATTATCAGTCTAGAAGATCCCGTCGATGGGCAGAACACTCTAAGGAGCACTTCAGCTGTCTTTCAGCCACACTTCGGTTACCCTTGATCTGCAATCAACCTGAATGGCAAATTGATGTAAACCCTCCAACTCTTAATGATGTTGAAAAGGCTATAGGGAATATGGAGCGAAAAAGAGCAGAGGGCCCTGATAGGTTAATACTAAGATTTTTAGAGCTGATGGTCCAGTTTTAGCAGTTCGATCGACTGAGATCTTAGCTAGAATCTGGGAACTGGACTCAATCTTATTTGACAGATCTCAATCACTGACTGTCACAGTCTATAAGAAAGAACAAAAGTTCTCTTGAGACAGTCACACAGGAATCAGTGTCTAAAATATTTGCTTCACTAGTACTTCAACGTCTAACTAGAGCTTGTGAACAGTAGACTAGAAAAAATTAGGCTGGTTTCAAACCTGAACGTGGATGTATAAACAAGGTATTCACACTTCGTAAGGTCCTAGAATACAGACTCACGATACGACGTCCCACAATAGTAGTATTTCTCAACCCTAAGGCGGTACTGGACTCTGTTAATCGTTAGCTCCCATGGTAGTGTCTGTCATTAATAGGTGTACCAAAGAAGTACATTAACCCTATACAAACTCTCTACTCGAATACCACTGGTCGAGTTAGAACTTATGACGAACAGTCATCGGAATTGATTACCGAGAGCGGTGTTTCTCAGGACTGTCCACTTCCTCAATTCCTATTTAACTTTGTCATTGACATGCTTTTAGGTACAACTCTTTCATCATCTGACTTCAGAAGTTGACCTTCTACCAGGAGAATCGTTTTTTGACTTAAAATACACCAGTAACACAGTTCTGCTTGGTGAAGACGCTGACAAAGTGCATAGTCTCCTGACCATCCTAAGCTACAATGCAAGTATGTTCAAGATGCGATTCTCCCCGTCGAAATGCAAAATTTTGCTTCAGGATTGGCTTACATCGACACCTGAACTAGTGGTAGGAAGTGAAGTAGTTGAGTGTGTTGACCACATCACTTATCTTGAGAGTCTCATCAGTGTTGATGGCCTGGTGTGTGACAAAATCTCCGTATGGATACAAAAGTCTTGACTGACTCTTGCCAACTTGCGTCACTTATGGCGTAGTCTATACATCCGTCAGTTAACCGAAGGACGAATTCACTGCGTAGCAGTTCCTACCTACTCTATGGATGCGAAGCATGGCCTGTCAGAGTTGAAAAACTTCGTACTGTTTTCTATCTGTTTTTCGATCATAGGTGTCTCTGAAGCACTGCTCGTGTATCCTGGGATTATCGAGTAAGCAATGTTGTTGTTAGGAAACGCGCACTAGGTGGGGATGATAAATCAGTAGATGAAATATTCAAACTTCATCAGTTCAGATGGGTGGGATATGTGTTACGTATGCCCAACCATAAACTGCCTCTATGAGCGATGTTTTGTGATGTAGGAGTAGATTGGAAGAAAGCTAGGAGCGGCCAAACCAAAACATGGCAGAAATCCATGAAGTCACTGACAAGTGTACTGAGCCATGTTAGTAAGTGTAGACTACCTGGTTGGAGTCCGCGAGACGATAGTAACCGATGATTCGAAACTTTGTATGGAATGGCTCAAAATCGTTTGCAGTAGCGCAGATGAATCTTCTGAATTCCTCATCACCTATATTTTTTGTCTTTGAATCTATCTCACCGGATTATACTTTTTGAATAATTTCATTGAACCCTATTCTTGTCCATTACCGCTGATACTTTTACTACCTCTACTAGTATGAGATTCGAACTAACATTTCGATCTATGTTGATGTGATATGGCAACTTGAACTGATGTATGTGCTTACCAAGTTCTACATGGTAGATGACTGACTGAATCATATGATGTCTCTGATTTTCACGAACTATACGTTGCTTTACTGTTCACCTTTTCGAGCAACACCTTGTAGTTGGTTTATTCAATGTCGATCAAGAAATATGTAAAGGTTATCACGTATTTTATTTATTGACCTCATTAGCCTAATATGATTAACCTGTGTTACTCATTTTAGGAGTACAATGTGTTTACTGAATTTAGCATACTGTCCAAAGTTACGCCCACTTCTTAATTTTACTTTATATACTAGTCGCTTGTGAACTATCTAGCTAAGTTGTACTAAGAAATTAGACAGGAAAGATACCTAACGTTCAAAATGTTTAGACTCTGATCTTTCCCATCGATCGAATATTAGGTAATGGCTATTTAAGCTCCTAATGATGATCAAATATTCATAAATGGTGCTCATGGTAGAAAGTATAACATCTAAGTAGATTGACACTAAAGTTTATATGAAAGTATCTAGTCTGTGCTTTCTGAGCTCTTATTTCACTAGTTACATTTTTCCATAATTGTGCTTCGGTAGTTGAAATTACAGCAGTTCCATCCGAAAGAGAAGTCAGTTGGACGAATTAGGTGACTTAAACGTGAGAACTTACTCGTTATCGAGGCAATGATGAAAACATTTGAATCAGTGATGGGATCGACTAACATCAGCTGATATAACACTAGCCAGGATTTCAAAAATAGTTTTGATACCAAACTTCAAACTTTCAAGTGTATTAACGAACCTTTTACCTTTCATCATATACTAACTTGGGCAAATTGGCGGTAACTATCGAAGACAAAAGGATGAGGTCGCGCAGCATCGCTAGATCAATCAGAGTTAGACATTAACACCGTTAGATGCCGGCCCATTGGTCCAATGGTTAGGTGTTCCCGCACAATACCGAAGGTCCCGGGTTCGAGTCCTGCGAGACGCAGGAGTCGTGGATGCACACTGCTGATGAATCCCATACCAGGACGAAACGGCCGTCCAGTGCTTCCACGTTTTTAATGGTGGTCTAAAAATGATTGATTGATGATTTCAAACGTGTTGTAAAAACACTAATCTCCATAACTCTAATTGAAAATATTGTTTTTCCTCGTAACTGTAGCACAATGTTAGTCGTGGATCAATCACAGTGAAACAAGAGAAACCAAAGTATGTTATTTATACATTGACCGATTGATTTTGTTTAACCGTTTTTTTTCATCTCCTTTTGAATTCCTGTTGCGATTCTTAAATTCAAGTAAAGATTTAAAAGTGAAAGTCTTATCCCAATAAAAATATGAAACATCAGTTCATTTTGTATTCTTTTTAAATTAGCTAATCTCATAGTTAGCAACTAAATTAAGTAATACCGCTGTGATTAAAGGGAGCCACAATAAAATACAAAATTAGTACGTATCAGATAAAGAGCTTACTATCCTAATCTTTGATTGTTTCCTCAAAAACGATTTCACATCACCATTAAATTCCATCATCACTCTTAAGGTTCACATACACAAAAGATGAAAACCTTCTAGGTTAGTTGCCATCTCAATCATAAGTATTATATGACTTAAGTAAAGCAGCCGAAATATGCTTTTTAAAAGTAAACATGTGAATGTATCATTGGTTCTACACGGTATCTAGTAGATTTTTTAGGCGTTTCATGATGAAATTCAGTTTCAGTTAAAGTATAAAATACACCATGTTGATTGCTGCTAATTCACTTTGAATCGGAAAAAGACTATTGCAGTTATTTTACCTGTTAGTATGTTCAAAATTTCCGAAATTTGTCCAAGCAGTGATTTCAACCCCTTTCACATTTACACTGATTGACATGGGAAAATGTTATCTTGATTGATAATCCCCTCTATTCTGGTGGCTGCTATATCTCATCTACATTTTGCTCATTCTGTGTATTTTGATTTCAGGAAACCAGAAGCAAATGCATGTGTTTCAATGTAAAAAGAAATTGATAATTCGACATTTATTGAGTTTAACTTTGAAAACCTAATTTACTCAGTTAGAAATCCTTCCCTTTTGTTTCTTTTTTTTTTATGTAATCCATGTACTGTTCACACAAATGATTTCCCAATTAATAATCATAAACCTTTATAAACACTTTGATAACTTTTATAACTATTTTTTATCACATTGAAACATAATAATTTAACGCATTTTATGCATCATTTAAATGTTATTTTCTGATAGAAGAATTGGTAATATCATACTTTTATTCAGTGCGACAAATGTTGTTTTCTCTTATTCTGGTGAATAAACAATTTTTTCCAAACAGAATTGTATCAAATATTCTATTTTGCGACATTGGTAGTTTTTCTTGCCCCGAAATTATCTTAGCTGAACCTAGAAGCACTGGAAGGCTATTTTGTTCTAGTGTTGGTCTTTTCAACAGTACACACCTACGAACCCACACATAGTAATCGAAACCAGAACCTTCGATCTCACGGGCGAATGCTCAGTCGCTTGACCACTGAATCGAAATCCGACAGTGCTGATGCCCAACTCCAATCAATTCTTTATCGTGCGCTACCAGTCACCCATTGTAGTTGACTGACTAACCGAAGGATCAATCTCGTATAACCATTCGGAGGATTCGGTGAAAACAACTTTAGTAATATTTGTGATCATACATAGTAAAAATAATAATTCTATATCTGTCTCCATCTCCAAAGATGGGTTCCGTCCTGTCAAGTTTTCGTCACATTTTCATTTATTTCATTTATATATCACAGTTTCAGGTCTAGTTGTAAAAATTGGACATGCAGTTATTTTTGAACAAAAAGATAAAATTGACGATTAAGAGATTGTATTTGAAAGAAAAGAGCTACCAAGTGTGCAAACAAATGTAATTCATGCAAACTAAACAAAATACATTTATCAAGAGTTGTGAATGCAAGATAAAACAACTACAAGCCTTCATATTGCCAAAAGTAGGAGACTACTAGTCATAAGTTGTTAATTTGTTGTAAGGGTTACAGTTTTTTTTTTTTGATTCTCGTAATTTTGTCTCAGTGAATTCGACTGTTCCGTGCACACTAACGGTCATGAATTTCTATTGATTCATACAATATAAATGTGAGAGACGAATTTTTAGTCCAGATAATATTGATCTATATAATCAGACAGCAGGTCATCTTCAGTCAGTCAGACAGACAGAAATATACATACATATTGATGTATACAACAAAATATTTTGAAAAATATTCTAATCGGACTTAACAACTTTAAGTGGATGTTTATTCAAGGAAAATTACTTTTTACAACTCTGTAATTCTTGTATATATTTTCTTCAATTGTTTATACCAATTCTTAATTCCGTTTTGTCCAATATAATGAATAATTTTAAAGATGGAAGTTTTTGGTTATTGTTTCTTCAAGAGTGATATAAAAGTGAATAGTTCCATCACTGTTCTTTTTTTTCTTGGAAATCTGAAAGTCAACAGCCCACCGTAACCTACTAGTCTTGACTGATGAAAAGGTAAGTTGGTCAATTTTATAAAACTGTTTCTTGAAGGATTTACAAATGCAGTTAAGTCCTCACTATATCTTCAGTATATATGACAAAGGAAGTTCATTCGGGCCCATGTATATATATATTTATGTTGATGAACTATAGGAGATAACGATTAGCTGCAAAGTCAAATTTGAACCATTACGATTAACAAAGTTATAATACATGTGTCTGAATTGATAATTAGAATTGGTGACTAAATATTTATGTATCTGATAGAGGAAATGAATAATTCATTGGTAAAATACATGAGTAATATTTAGAATGGTATTTTTTCAAGGGATAACCAAACAAGCGGAGTACATATGAAAACCATACACAAGGTTGTTTACAGTAACTAGAATGAAAGTGACCCAACGGTTGTTAAAAGCATGACTAGAAAAAATAACTGAACACTGGATTCCACATGCCCAAGTTTCGCGAAGAAATTCTAATGGATATTTGCTTTGTTTTAGGTAAATAGGTTATGACTAAACTAAACATGTTTTGTTCATTTTTACTTGTGTCAACATTTGTGAAAATATGATTCATCATTAAAGTCATATTATCTTGATTGAAAATTGTCAAAATAAATCAGTGATAACTTGAATTTTCCTAATGTATTTGTAACCACTTGTTATTTGGAATTTTTCTCAGTATGTATTCAAGAATTGCTTTTCTATGCACATAAACAGGACAAACATTTTAGTAATTCACTTTAGTGTATGTATTCAACCAATATTGTTGTTATAATACAATTAGAATTTGTTTTAACTTAATTAGGCGATGTATTCTTCAGCATTTATGCATTGCTATGATTACCTGCTTTCAACAAGTATCAACGTAAAACTATGACTTTATTTACGATAGATTCCCTAGACAAACATTGCCCAATTTGAAATTCATTAGAATATAGCCACTTGAACATGTATTCAAATAATTATTTTGGTGTGAGTGGAAAGTGATAACGTACATCGATAAGTTTAACGTTCGATAATTTCTAAGTAATTTAAGAGGACGGGGTAAACAGTTAGTTATTAATTAATTCCACAGTATGCATTACAGACATATCTTAATTACACAAATAATGCCAACTAGAAATCAGCAAAGAGCTCCACCGTCTTAGAAAGGAGCACCTCATCAGTGTACCCAAGACTACACTACAGATTGACTTCATAACATTCAGATTAGCTGCGGATGTCTAATTTTCAAGCGATTAAGTGAGGATCCAATGATTTATATCTCTGAATTCAATCAATTCCTTATTGTACACAAACATCTTTCAGTTTTATTGTCCTTTAAGTGCCTCACATCGAACACTATCGGACTCCACTAGTTACAGCTTCTAACTAGCACTTTAGGAACTAACTCTAAATTATTTATCATGGTTAACATTAATTATTTATTCATCTAAACATATTGATTAATATTGGAATTTCAAGTCTCTTTCATTTCATGTGGTAGTTTTTATTGATACCTGAATATTGATAATTATTATATGATGTATAAACCGTTTTTAGACGACAAGTATATTCATTTTTGACAAACAACTAATTAATGCAAAATTTGGTCTGAATCACTCGCGGCATTGCAATGTGATTTAATTCATCCTGACAATATATTAAATCTTAATGACAGCAAATGCTGATCGATAAGTTAAACGGTAATTTACGAACTATGTATGTTAATAAAATTAGTCAGTGTTTGCATTGTATGCACAAGTTTTTACATGCTGTTATTAACATGTTATTAACAAGTTGTTTATACTGAAGAATAAAGCAGACATAATTCAATCAATTTTGTTGAAGAACACTAAAAGAGTAAATGGATAATGATGTAACCTGATGCCACTTTTGTTGATTAACTTAACTATTGATAACTCCGCCTGTATACCCTTGGAGGCTACTGCCGGTTCCAAGCCCGGATAAAGGAGGAAGGTTGGCGACCCCATCCCGTCAAAAAACTAACTTGCCAAAAAAAACGCTAACTAGAAGAAATAATTCAAACCATTTTAACTCTGCCCTGCAAGTTGGAAGAAGAATTATGACGTCACGTGATGAAAGCCGAGTTCCCTCGGAAGTCACGCGGCCGATGCCAATGAACGTCATCCAATGCTATGCATTTACCAATGACTTCGATGAAGGCGTTAAAGATCAATTCTGTGGAAGGCTGCAGTCAATCGGCGGCACAATATTCCCACACAAACGCATGCACGAAGATACATGGATTTCGCGGATCACACTTTTCAGAATCGAATTGACCATAAATGTATAAACAAAGAATTCAGAGGGAGCGTGGAGGATGTGAGAACGAAGAGAGGAGCTGAAATAGCCTCAGATCACCACTTGCTGGCCGCCAAAATGGAACTGAAACTCTAGAGACACTGAACAACGGGGCGGACAACATCGCAGAAGTTTAATACGGCCTTTTTTCGGGATACCGTAAAACGCAACGAATTCAAGAAAGCCCCTAAGCAATGGTTTCAGGCCTTGCACGATCTACTCGATGTATACACAGAAGCAAACAGGGAAGTGAAGAAGAGCATCACAGCTGACAAACGAAAATATGTGCAAGATCTAGCAATGACGGTGGAAAAGGCTGCAAGAGACGGAAACTTAAGACAATTGTACGATACAACAAAGAAGCTCGCCGGAATTTATCATAAACCTGAACAACCAGTGAAAAGCTAACAAAGGCAAAGTAATCAGTAACACTGAAGAAGTTAGAAACAGGTGAATAGAACACTTCAAGCATCTCTTAAATTGACCAGCTCCACTGAACCCACCCAACATCGAAGCAGCATCTACGGATCTCTCAACCGATGCTGGCGCACCTACAATTAAGGAGATCAGTATGGCCATCAGACAAATCAAGAGCGGCAAATCAGCAGGATCAGACAACATTCCAGCAGAGGCAATCAAAGCAACAAGATTTGGGATGAGGAACAAGTACCATCAGATTGGAAAGAAGGATACCTGATCAAAATACCAAAGAAAGGCGATCTCAGCAAGTGTGAGAACTACAGAGGCATCACTCTTCTTTCAATACCAGGCAAAGTCTTCAATAGGGTATTGCTAAACAGAATGACGGACTTCGTAGACGCACAACTTCGAGATCAACAGGCTGGATTTCGTAGGGATCGATAGCGTACGGACCAAATTGCAACATTACGGATCATTGTGGAACAATCAATAGAGTGAAACTCACCACTCTACATCAACTTCATCGACTACGAGAAAGCATTCGATAGCGTGGATAGGAAAACACTTTGGAGGCTTCTTCGACACTACGGGGTGCCTGAGAAAATAGTTAACATCATACGGAATTCTTATGATGGATTCAACTGCAAAATCGTGCACGGAGGTCAGCTGACAGACTCTTTTGAGGTGAAGACCGGTGTGAGGCAAGGTTGCTTACTCTCACCCTTTCTCTTTCTCCTGGTGATCGACTGGATTATGAAGACGTCGACATCTGGAGGGAAGCACGGTATCTAGTGAACTGCTAGGACGCAGTTGGACGATGTGGACTTCGCAGATGGTTTATATCTTCTATCACACACGCAACAACACATGCAAGAAAAGACGACCAATGTAGCAGCAGCCTCAACAACAGTGGGTCTCAACATACATAAGGGAAAAAGCAATATTCTCCGATATATCGCAACATGCAATAATCAAATCACTCTTGATGGAGATGCCTTGGAGGACGTTAACACCTTTACATATCTGGGCAGCATCATCGGCAACCGAGGTGTGAGGGCGCGGATCGGCAAAGAAAGGGCTGCATTTCTACAATTAAAAAATATCTGGAACTCCAAACAAATATCAATCAACAGCAAAATCAGCATTTTCAATACAAATGTCAAGACAGTTCTACTGAATGGAGCGGAAACTTGAAGAACTGCCAAAGCCATCATCCAGAAGATACAAGTATTTGTGAACAGTTGTCTTTGCAAAATACTTCGGATTCTTTGGCCAGACACTATCAGCAACAACTTACTTTTGGAGAGAACAAACCAGATTCCAGTGGAGAAGAAAAGCAGGAAGAAGCGGTGGAAGGAAACGCACTGCGAAAATAACCCAAATGCGTAACAAGACAAGCCCTCACATGGAACCCTGATGGTCAAAGGAGAAGAGGAAGACCAAGGAACACATTATACCTAGAAACAGAGAAAGCTATGAGAGGAATGAACAAAAGTTTTACAGAACTGGAAAGGGAAGCCCAGGACAGATTAGTCTGGGGAATACTGATACGCGGCCTATGGTCCATTGGTGGTAACAGGCGTAAGTAAGTAAGGTATGAACGGCTAATAGGAGTAGAACGTACTGTGTCGCTTTCAATTAATGATTTCTTTGTAAGTGTTTTACCCGTGGTTCATATTTTAAATTAAATACGTTTGATTGTGCCCATGTAATTTTTTTTTATTTGAATACTGTTTCATAGTTAAATTTTAGATAACAAATTGGATAATTCTGATCCGATCTTACCCACATAATTTTGAATACACCGTTGATAACAACTTGATAGAACAAAAAGACCACCAATCTCGATATCATCTTCCATAGTTTATACTTACTCACTCCTGTTACCCCCTTGTCACCTGAATTCTCTACATCAAGTGGTGTCCGTCAGGGATGTCCACTTTCTCCATTCCTGTTTAATTTTATCATAGACATGCTCCTAGACATAACATTATCCTCGTCTGAATTTTCAGGAGTAGACCTTCTACGAGGTGGCTCGCTTATTGACTTAGAATATGCCCCTGACATTGTCCTACTTGGTGAAGATGCTGACAAAATGCAGAGTCTTCTGACAACCCTAAGCAACAATGCTAGCATGTTCGGGATGCGGTTTTCCCCCTCGAAATGCAAAATGTTGCTTCAAGATTGGGTTTCATCGGCACCTGAACTAGTGATAGGGAGTGAAGTAGTCGAACGTGTAGACCGCTTCACTTATCTTGGGAGTCTGATCAGTGCCGATGGCCTGGTGACTGACGAAATCTCAGCTCGGATACAGAAGGCTCGATTGGCTTTTGCCAACCTGCGTCACTTATGGCGTAGGCGTGATATCCGTTCTCTAATCAAAGGACGAGTGTACTGTGCAGCAGTTCGCTCCGTTCTCCTATTTGGCTGTGAAACATGGCCAATGAGAGTAGAAGATATTCGTAGGTTACTGGTTTTCGATCATAGGTGTCTTGGAAGCATTGCTCGTATACCGTGGGACAACCGAGTGAGCAATGCTGTCGTTAGGAAACGAGTACTAGGTAAGGATGGCAGATCAATAGATGAAGTGGTGAAACTTCATCAGTTGAGGTGGCTGGGACATGTCTTGCGTATGCCCAACCACCGACTGCCTCGACGAACTTTGTTTTGTAGTGTAGGAGTAGGTTGGAAGAAAGCTAGGAGCGGCCAAATCAAAACATGGCAGAAATCCATGAAGTCATTGACTAGTGGACTGAGCCATGTCGGTAATTGTCGACTACCTGGTTGGGGTCCGCGAGATGATAATAATCGATGGTTAGAGACCTTGAATGACATGGCTCAAAATCGTTCTCAATGGCGCCAGTGCATTTATTCTTTGTGTTCTCTCAAACCCTAATCTTCTGGATTCTTCAACACCTCTAGTTTCGACTCTCTAAACTTTTCTCACTGAATCATACTTCTTGAATAATATCTTCTAATCCTAACCTCTCCGATTACTTCTAATTCCCTTACTACCTCTACTACTATTGGATTTAAATTGACAATTACTTCTCTGTGCTGATGTGGTATGGCAACATGAACTGATGTACTTATGTACGAAGTTCTACGTTGCATCTGACTGACTGACTGATCTGAACACTGCTAGCAGAGACAATGCTTTAAGTTAACCGCTGTTCAAAATAGTTCTCATTTACATTTTATTCTGGAAAGCTTAAGTTTTAGTTGCAGTCTTCAATGTTTCTCAATAAATTTGTTTATCAGAAGTTAGATTAGATGATTCTATAGTAAACAAAGAATCGAAAATGCTCATGTTTTAAAAATTCTAACAAAATTATCAGTATAGTCATATAAACCACCTGTTGAAGCATTACGGATATAAAGTTTATTCAACCATCTTGTAAGTTGGATCAGATCTTAACTGATTGGTTGAAATTAGTTCGCGATAAATTCTATGTACTCCTATCTGAAGAATGCCAATCGTCACTACATTGTGATGGTATTTAACAAACAAATTTTGTTATGTTACACATTTTCCGTGATTCAATCTCATTTTTACAACCACCTTTATAGACCTTAAAATTGTTACTCAAATTTAACCTTAATCTTCGATCACTGTTTCGTTCTGAACTTGTGTGTCATTATCAACTGCTGCTCTCAAATTCACTGCCTCTTGATCACTCCTCATTTTCACTTGGTCAGCTTCCGAGCGAATAGATGTCTAATATAATTTTTATTCACATTCTTAGATCGTAATAGTCTTCCCATTATTCGATTATTTATATTATTATATTTGAGCAGTATTAGTCATTTTTTGTGAATTTTATGACTGAAAAAGCTTGGACATGCATCCTGAAAACATTCTAAGCGATATTACATGTTATTTTTTGTGTAAATACATATATATCTATATTTGAGTGTCATTCATCCTTCTGAAGTAACTCTTTCACTGTTTTGATACTCATAAATTTCTGGTCTTCCGCAACATCTGAGCTGCTAGGAAGCAGATTAAATTAATAGGTTGGTGGATTTGACTGGCGGACTTTACAAAAACTTTGAACTATTTGACACATCAATGTAAACAGTTGTGAAATGTATTTAATATTACAGTCTTCAGGAGCATCGAAAATATATACGACTTCAATGTCTGAAATAAATGAGATAATTTCCAAACTACTGATTAAGATTTCAATAGTCAGTTATTATTATCATCAGTTTGTTAACTATAAATGCATCAGTATCGATGGCATTTATGTTAGCCTATATGAAGTTACATATATGTATATATCTTACTGACTAGTTATTCAGAAAAACCGAAATTGCGATCCTAGCGGAATATTGGTCAAAATCAGTGAAACATTCAACTAAAGCGTATCACTAAAAAGTATTGAAAATGTTCAACATAAGAGCTAGTTTTTCAAAGAATTCTCATATATAATAAAAAATTTATTTTCCATTATATTCAGATGAAGACTAAAGTGAGTACTAACTTAGGCAACCAGCTTAAGGACTATTGATGTATATAATCTAAGTGCATATGTGTTAATCGACTAAACTATCAGGTCCATATATTTCTTTTATCATAAGCTTCTCATTAACCCATAAATTATTATCATACGACTTACAGTTCCTATTTTATTCGCAGTTTCAGTTACAATCTCTCCTACTCAGATCCACTTTCGACTGATTCACGTGTTATTGTTCATTTCCACTTATCGGTGAGGTATGAAGTGATTGAAATATGGTAACGAATCTTGGACTGCTGGTAATTGGTCTTCGTTCTTTCTCTCCGGTTAGGCAAGTTAGTATTGGGCCGTCCTTCAAACGTACAGTAACAAGTCTCTCGTCATAGTAATGAAGTGATCACTCAAAGGTTGTCGAAGCATTGACTAATTTAATGCTATAACACTTTCATATAACTTCAATCTTAAAAATTACCAAACGAAGTTTGAATGTTTTTACTTTCTGTGGTCATTTATTTTCATACAACACCAGTTATCCAGGGCTGCATGGTTTGCGGGATATCTCCAGTTTCATTGGAATTATGGACTGAATTAGACTAAACAATCATTCGAAATCTGGCAGCACTCGTCGACCACCTCATACTAGAGTGGAACCTTTTAACAGCGAACATTCACAACTCCGCACGCATGTTACAAGGGTTGAAGAGGGATACAGATTTCGGTTTTTCAGTATGACTCAATCAGTGTAATCAACAGAAATAAATTTGAGTTGTATTACTCGTGAACAAATATTAGATTTCAAAGCACTGAAAGTAATCTCTCAGTCAATAAGAAAAGAATTGTACTCTACAATAGAATCCTCCTTTGTCGCCACAATAATTATAATATCAGAACTGCATACATTAGTAAACAACAGTGCTTTCAGTTAGATCCTCATCAGATTTTAATCTAATGTACAGTAATATTCAAATGCATAGATCAAGATATTAAACTAATCAAGTTAATTTTCAAGCCGACTGGGGTGAAGGCAGTAGCTGCATGAGACAATGGGTGAGTTTGCGCGAAAATTCTTAGATTGATCAGAGTTAGACAATAACACTGTTGAAAGCCTGCCCAGTGTTTCAGAAATTAGGCGTTCGCGCGCAAGACTGAAGGTCCTGGATTCGTATTCCGCGAGTAGCAGGGGTCGTAGACGCGCAATGCTGGTGAGTTTCATTCTAAGACGACGTGGCCGTCCACTGCTTCTAAGTGTCTAACGGCGGTTTAAGAATGATTCACTCATAAATTTAATGTAAACATAATAAACAACATGTACAACAGATTGATAGTGCAGTCACAAGTCATGATCAGAATAAAAAAATGCTTGAATCATAATGAGAAGTAGATAAAAACATGGAAAAACTAGACACTGAAGTGACATTTATTTAAAGTTACCAGAATTACGTAATACGAAACGTTTTAGTAATAAGACGGTGAAGAATAAATTTGAAAAAGAATAAAAAATAACAAACAAACTAAGGGTATAGAAAATTGTATTAGGTGAAATCACTTGTAAGTCTAGTTTGGTCAAGTAAGAAATAAGCCTAGTATAAGTTTCTCCTGGTTACAATGATGTCGGTTTTCAGTTCAAATCCTTATAGCTTCCGATATATGTAGAAGATAAGATTAAGTTTCATAATGAAAAATAGTGGGTATACGTTAAACTACTCTACATAATTTGGTTCTTTGTACTACATGACCGATATCGGAGCTGCATATTAATGTGATCATGCCCCTTCCAAACCACGGAAGGAGATTTCCACTGAATTACTTGGGTGTATATTCAATTTGGCTTTTCCTGGAAAGGTGGCTAAATTCGTAGATACACAAGGATGTAGTAAAACCAGGTTATTTATTCTTAAGTTGAGGAACCACTACTGGTCCGATAGAAACGATAGATGGAGGTTAGCTGTATAAGACTTCTTCTACACTGCCTTAGTCATTTTATTCTTCAGTACAACACTAACCATAATCCCATATCTCAACATTTTCATATATGCATATAAATATTATTGAATAACAGAGTGTAGCGTTATTACAATCGAATTGTAAAAATATTTTTAGCCTAAATATGTTGTTTTAATTTATAAAATGGGAATTTTTAATATTTTGGTAATAATTTCACAATTAGTTAAGTATCTGGACATATGTACATATAGTATAATGATATCCGTTATCCCCTAAAATAAGTAATTTTATAAGTATTCATCATCAATACTGACCTAGTTAGTTGTAATGGACATCAACCAGCTGAAGGAATTCAGCTAAACATCTGTCATTATCAGTCAGTTTAAAAGTCTCAAAATGTTTTTTTGTCAGTATACATTCAAATATCTTGAGATGGTGGAGAAAACCTGTAGCTCCGGTGGATGATTGTGATGGTGTTTCGTTCATATTCAAATATCTCCTTCTTTCGAATCTTTACCATCCTCTTTATTCATCTTTGAATCATTTCATTAAATAGTATACTTGATCCAATTCCGTTTCATCGAGTATAATGGTTAGCCTTGTTAAAGTCGGTCTATGACATAGATAACAATAAATTGAACAATCTCTATTAATCATGTACTTTTAATTTATATATATTCAAGAACCACCATCAAGAAATTTAAATATTTTTCTACATATTGACAATGAATGACAATATTCTGTTTGTCATTTCATTCTATTAACAATATGCTATCAATTAATTGTTTATTGAACTGAATAAATTAAACATGAAATTCATTTGTGTGTTTATTTAGTTGATCGATTGATATTAAGCTGTATAGTTAGTTATTTTAGGATAAAATAAAAATAAACAAATTTTTAATGAACATATTTAGTTGATTTGTGATGATACATGTTATCAGTGGAATAAATGATCTGAATGTTTTACAAACATTTAATTATATGTTATACTGGGTACTAATATGATTAAGTTTATGTTTATGTTGAAGATTGTATATTTCATATTTACGAATAATGAATGCTATTAGAGTTTTAATTCTTAATTCTAACATCAGTGATTTGATGAGACTGACTTCATTTATTCTTCACCATTGTCGAATACTGATTTAGCGAAGTGTTTAGTAATATGTAAATACGCCGCCTGTAGCCCGCTGGGGCTACTGTCGGTTCCAAGCTCGGATAAAGGAGGAAGGTTGGGCTTGTGGATGGCGACTACATCCAGCAGAAAACCAACTCGCTAAAAAAACGCCAACAAGAAAAACTAATTCAAACTCTGCTCTGAGAGTTGGAAAGTCTTCATTCAGAAGAGTTATGACGTCTCATAATGAAAGCTCAGTTCCTTCGGAAATCACGAGGCCTATGCACAACAAGAGCCCATCCACGATACGGGCAGCCGGCAAGTGACAACCGCCTTCATATCCATAAAAGCACACGAAACCAAACTTGTCACAGTCAAGTCCTTTCTACACCTCCAAATAACGCTCTTATCTACACGATTAACCCTTCTCACATTCCTTTGGTACGCCGCACCATTAATGCAAACTTTTCGAGCTCAAGAAACGTTGTTCCTGGTCTCCTGAAACCCCGCTCTAAACTACATATTGGAGTTTTAATTGTTTTAACCTTGTGTCAAAAGGACAACAGACTTCCTTAGCTAATACTTTGGAATCCTGCTTTCGGTCCTCCTCCGAAAAGTTAAGCGCTCTGATATAGTTAAAATGGCTGGTGACTTTAATGCTCAAGTAGGTAGACTAAGTGAATAAGATAGACACGTGAGTGCATCTTATAGTTTTGTGGCTGATAGAACAGATAATGGCGACCATCTGCTGCAGCTATGCTCAGATAACCGCCTATTCTTAGCAAACACTAACTTCAAGCATAAGGTAAAACACCTCTTGACCTGGCGACCCACAAAGCCAACCCAACTAGATCACATCGCTATAAGCTCAGTTGAAGACTGCCGCTCATTCTGGAGCACTCGATTAGACTCAGACCATGCCCTTGTGCGTGCGCGTATTTGTTTGTGCCTTACTGGACGCAAAAAAATATCGCAAAGAAACCTTTTAAGGCTCTACTTAATGATAATAAAGCTAAGAATATATTTCAGGAACAACTAGAAAAGCAGTTAGGCAGCCATGTAATAGGTGATGCCGACCCTGAGACAGCTTGAACTGATATCAAAAAGGGACTGTGAAAACAGCAGTGATATCTGCTAGTAAGGTAAAACATAAGGTTAGGGAGAAGCCGTGGATTTCAGTAACTCTACAACGATTTACAGTGACAGAGCTTGACAGGCTTACCTCTGAGATTTTCAAGAATAGGGGTTCAGTTTTAACAGTCAGATTGACAGAAATCTTAATTAGAATCTGGGAACTAGGCGTAATCTCATCTGACTGATCTCAATCGCTGATTGTCCCAATTTATAAGAAAGGACAAAAGTCCTCCTGTGACAATCACAGAGTAATCAGCCAAACTAATAAAGTATCTAAAATATTGGCCTCAATATTACTCCGACGCTTAACAGAGGCTCGTGAAGAGCAGACTAGAGAAAACCAGGCTGGATTCCGACCTAGACATGGATGTATAAACCAGTTGTTCACACTACTACAGGCACTGGTACATAGAAACACGTTCAGACACCTCACAATAGTATCATTTCTCTACCTTAAAACGACATTCGACTGTGATGATCGTGAGGTTCTGTGGCAGTGTCTGTCTTTAAAACGTGTACCAGAGAAGTACATTAACCTCATGCAAGCTGTCTACTCGAACACTACTAGTCAGGTTAGAGCTTATGGCGAACTGTCACCAGAATTTAATACTTCAAATGGTGTTAGTCAATGTTGTCCACTTTCCCCAATCTCATTCAACTTTTTCATTCACATGCTTTTAGAGACGACACTTTCATCATCTGATTTTTCGAGAGTTCAATGTTTAGCAGTGAATTCACCTGTTAACCTAGAATATGCCGATGACATAGTTCTACTTGGTAAAGCAACAATGCAAGCATGTTTCAGATGTGATTCTCCTCGTCAGAATGTAAAATTTTGCTTCAGGATTTGCTTGCATCCGCACCTGAACTAGTGAATTTATTTCAAAGAATATTCTTCGTTCGTATATCAATGTTTTGATATTATTGTATTAGGATGTTCATTACAACTGTCTTTAGCAGCATAAATTATAAAGATTAGTTCTATCAGAGTCTAAAGTCCATTGTAAGGAACTCTGTAAAAAAACACCTGACCATACTAATGAGGTTCTGAATTTTGGGGGTGAGTATGAGTATGGTGGTTTCATAAGGCGACATGGACTGGGAGAAAGGAAAGAGAACGACAGTGAATTAGTTAATCCAAGTGTATTTGACCACATGACCATTTGCGGAACCACTTTTTTTCTTACAAACCCATGCACGGCTGCTAGATTTCACCAGATCTTAGTGATCGCACAATCAAGCTCAGTGAGTGTATAACTAACGTCATATGATCATCAATTAGTTTTGCTGAAGTTACAAGTTATACCAAATTACTGTTTTATTCACTCAACAAAAACTTATCTTTTCATATTCTCACTTGGCTTTTTTTATTAAGTCAATATACAAGTTGTTTAGTTATTGTTTGATTGGTTTCTCTCAACAACGACAACTACTTTACTAGCTGAACTAGTTACAGACAAATTATTACGCAATCTGGAAATACGATGTCTCAAAGTGTTCAGTATATT